CTTCATTTAAAAGAGCGTATTGTCATTGCATGACTCAATCAGTTTCTATGAAAACTGAATACCTCTTGTTAATGATAGAGCATGGAAGTTAAGACATGGGGTTTTCAGACAGTCCTATAAATTTTGAGTTAAGCTCTTTTCACAGCAATCTTCATCTTTTGAGGTAAGGAGTTAGGCAGCACAAATATCAATAAAGGGCAGAATTACAATCCATGAAAGTCTTTCTTCTGGTATGTGCTTCCCGTTCACAATGAGAATGGTACAGGGAAAGAGAGATCTCCAAGAAGCTGACTGAGGTGAAGAAGAGAGGTAACAGAGGCAGAAAAAGAGCCAGAAAAACCCTATAGACACGGCTGTAAAACAGCTCTCCCCACCTTATTTGCCTTTCACAGACTGCAATAGGACAAGATGTGAAGAAACATCTGTTGCCTTTTTAAAATAGTGCTTTGATATTTTAAAAGAATAGTGACAGAATTAGGAGAAGCCTAATTTCTTTGGTTAGGGACAGCAGACACCTACTGGAAGAGAGTTAGTCTAGCACAGCCTACTGGATCTGGGGGCTGTGCATCCGTCTGTTATGCCCAGCTCCAGGGAGCAGCATGGGGCCACAGTGAGCTCAGGGGCTCTGGAGTCAAGCTGCCTGGATTTAAATCGTGGCTTCTTTACCTCTCATTTGTGATGCAGTACTGGACAGGCGGTATGGCTCTCTCGATCCTAATGGTGCCTAAGAGTATTTCCCGGGTCAGGAGTGGTTGTGAGATTGAATGAGAGAAAAGAAACTCAGGGAGCGAGTCCTGAGACTGGCTCATGGCTGCATTTGCTAAATGTAGGCTCTTATTTTTAAAAGTAGGTGAAAATTAGCAGCTTCTCTTAGACTAAATATAGGAACTGAACGGGACATTCAGTGGGACTAGAAAGTCCCTTAAGCAGGAAAAGTGAGAGTCTCTTTTTGCAGAAAAGGTCAGTGTAGATGCAGGCTAGCTTGAGGAATAGCTGAGGTTTGGCTCACTTTTGAGGCCATGATAAAACTAGCACAGCCAACCCAGGTAAAGGCACAGACCAATTAGAGTAGGTGAGCGCCAGCCAGCAGTACAACCAGTCGTTACAGCAGTGTAGTGAAGGTGCTTCAGAGAAGCTTAGCAAGTGCAAGAGAAATCTGTAGGTCTCAGATTTCTGGCACTGCCACTAAGAGGGAGAATCCAAGACAGGAAGACACCCTGAAGGCCAGCAAAGAGGTGAGTACAGAACAGGTGCCCAGAGGGGCCAGGAGATCCAGCTATAAAGAATTCAGGCTCTGAGGATGAGACCAAAAATCACAGACCAGGTGACATGGGAACTCTCACCATGTAGTCGTGATGTTTAAAGGACAGGCTTCTACCCAGACAGAGTTAATAATTGAGACAGGTTTATTTTAATGGCAGGTAGTCACTGCAAAAACACAAGACCCCAGAAGTTAAAGGATGCTTCAGAAAATAGTGTAGTGGCAGATGGGGGGCTTCCCAGAGAGAGTATTGGTTCTCATCTCTGCTTTGCCCATTACTGCAGGGCAAGTTAGGTTACCTGGCTAAGCTTCAGTTTGCTCACTTGTAAAATCAGAGTAATGAAAGATCCTACTTCAAGGTTTTGTGAAACTTAAATCATGCAATTTAATTAAAAGGACTAAGGCAAAGCCAAGCACCTGCTAATTGCTCAATTAATGTTGGCTATTATTATTAAAACTTTATACAGAAGCATTTGCATGTCTTGTGTGAAAATGTCATGGTTACAGAATAAATCACAAAATAAAATGCAATTATGTTAAATAAGTTTTCCAAAACCTTGTAATGAAAAATCACCTGGTCGTGTAGCTTTACTCTTTTTAATGTATTTTTTATTTTAGGAAGTGAATTTTTTAGCAACAAAACATGCCACTAGGAAACCAGGTCTCAGTGCTATTTTAGACAAGCATAAAGGAGACCTATTTTTCAATAAAACAAATTCTTATTGTACTGATAATTTTTTCACATGCCCTATACCCACTTGAATGTTTGAGATAATTATCTTTTGATCAAGTTTAAAAAAAAATTGGCCCTGGCCGGTTTGGCTCAATGGTTAGAGCGTCGGCCTGCAGTCCTGAGACCCGGGTTCGGTTCCTGCTAAGGGCGCGTACCTCGGTTGCGGTTTGTCCTCCGCCCTGGTTGGTCGTGTGGGTGGCAGCCACTCGATGTGTTCCTTTCACATCGATGTTTCTCTCTCTCTCTCCCACTCTACCTGAACAAAAAACGGAAAAATGTCCTCGGGTGAGGATAAAATAAATAAGTCAAATTGTGTCTCAATTTCATATTGGGCTTATTTTCTAGGGGTATATTTGTTCAAGTTTAGCTGGCCAGATCCTTTAGCTCCTCACTTTGGTCACAAATAAGCATCTGCCCTACCAGGTGGCTTGAATGAAATAATTGGCTTTATATTTCAGAACTGTCTCACCCTCCACCAATGTATTAGGTTTATACACAGGCTATCCTATTTTTGTTGCAGAATTAGACACCATATATCTGAAAATGGAATCTGTGGTAAAAATCTCCAAATTACTTGTAATTCTTCTCTTTGGATTCACCCAATTTTCCCAAGAAGTGCTTGTTGGGAACGATTTACTAATACAATAGTCATGTCGTCTTCTACTTTTGCTAATTTTGTTGCTCTGAAGCAAATCAACAGAACTGTCCCTGCTACTCTATCATCTCACCCTCTTTCTACCCATAGCACACAACAGAATTAACTATCTTTATGAGTGAATATTACTTATTTTTGAAACCTGACAGACTTATAGAAAACCATCAGTTGGCCAAGGGGTATAGTATCAAGCCTGAACTCATTGGATGAAATAAGCCTTCCCATAGTCTTTGGGTGTCATTTATTCGGTGGTTCTCAAAGTTTTCCATGCATCAGGATCCCCTGGATTTCAAGTTTTTAATTCAGAGAGTTTGAGATTGGCCTGAGAAATTGCATTTCTAACAGGTTTCCAGGTGATGCTGCTGGTTCAGAGACTGTTCTTTTGGGGTCATTGCACTAATCCACGCTTAGCTTCTCTTCTACTGATATGAATAATCTAGGATTTGCTTTTCCTTAGCTAGCTGTAGAAACAGTCTGTAGAAACTCAACAGTCTGGGCTAGCAGTTATTTTGGTATGTGTGGACAGTGTAATAGAAGTGGTAAAGTAAGTAGTTACTATCTATTTGGTTGATTTAAGTCACAAAGCGGTCAATTATAATATTTGTTGAATCATGGCTTCTAATGCACAAATCACTTTACATTATTCTGAGGTCAATGTAATACTGATGTTAAATCTTATTTTTCTTAGTCTTGACACTTTAGTTCTATGGTATTGCAAGTAGTGCACACATAGAAAGCATCTTTAACCCCCAAGTATCTGACCATATGGGGTTTTTGGTGGTGGAAGAATTTTCACTTGTCATAAACTATTTTTCTTAAATCAGCATAATTTTATTTAGCCTTTATCATGCATGGGGAACAGAAAACAGCATGTTCTTGGTCACTGCTTGGGACACATTTTGGTCTCAAGAAATGCCAATAAGCTAAAGTGAGTGTGGTTGCATCAGACGGGGAAGGCACATGTTCCCGGTCCCTGAGCTCAAACACTTTGCTAATTATCTTGCATCCGGAAGGTTGTAGGCCTGTCTGCCAACTCTCTAATGCAACTGTAGTCCATCAATTACAGGTTATACCACAAAGCATCTCAACAACTAGGGGCCACATTACTTAGGAGCATCCCTGGGTCTCTCCCTCATTTCCTTAGTTGATATCACAAGAAGTTTGATGACCTATCCAACTATGCTCAAGCGTCCCTGAGGCTGCAGTGATATTTTCAGTCCAGATGTTATTTCTTTTGTTTCACTGGGTTACAGGTAGAATTCTGGCTGAAAGGGAGTCTGGGAAATGCAGTGTTGATCTTTTCCAGCATCTACGGTTCAGGAAGTGAAGGAAAAAGAAGGTTGAATACAATGATGTAGTGTACAGTATGTACTACACTGTCATACTGGTTAAAAGCAAAAAAGAGGTAAACAACAAAAAAATCCCTGGCTTCAGAGTCTGGAGATGAGCTTCTAAACCTACTGTGCTCTGAGTAGTGATTTGTCATAGCATTTTTGAAATTATCCTTCCTAACAGCATGGCAGGGTGGAGCAGTAAAGAGTCTGCAAGGACTTCAGCTGTGTAAAACGTGAGGTTGCTAGAACGCTGCATACTTCATCTCATCATAAAATAGCAATGACAGTAATTGCCACTCTGTAGATTGTTGTGAGAATTAAATGGGGAAATACTGAGCTCTAACAACAGTGTTTGGCACATGGTGCTTAATCAATATTTCATTAACACATGGACACGGGTCTCCCTGACCTACGACAGTGTGGCACAACTTTTGATATTCTTATAGGAGGTATATTCAAGACCTGAGAATAGATAAACGGATACTCAAGCTTAATAAACACTTAAGCAAGAGCCAGAACACCCATGGGTGTTCCCCTGCTGAGCTGTCTGCATCCCTAGCAATCCTAAACTCGGGGTGGAGAAATAATCTATAGAGGGAGGGCATACAATTACAATGTAATCCCTTATACGTTTTTATTCTTTAGTGCCTTCCAAATGCTTTTTAAAAATTTGAGTAAATGTCGCCATTACCAGTCAACCTAATGTAATACCATGAGATACTCTTCTTTGAAAAATTTTCATTAAGGTTGGAATTTTTACATGCTCAAAAGAGGGCTTTACTTTAGAAGTATCTGGACTTGAATAAACTATGCATTATACAGTATCCTTTTTTTTTCTTTTTACCTTGGGCGAAGATAGGTGACTGCTTTATAGCCTATTCACCTTCCCATGTAATAATTTGCTCCTCTGGGGGCAGTTCTGTATACTTGTACAAGCAAAGCATTGTTTTCACTGTGAAATTGCACCCCGCCTTGTGAATGTTGTGCCTTGACTAACCCAGGTGTATCTCACTCCAGCTGGACAGTGCTACATCGCTCATCCAGGCCGCAAAAAACCTGATGAACGCTGTCGTCCTCACGGTCAAAGCATCCTATGTGGCCTCCACCAAATACCAGAAGGTCTATGGGACAGCCGCTGTCAACTCACCTGTTGTGTCTTGGAAGATGAAGGCTCCAGAGAAGAAGCCCCTTGTGAAAAGGGAAAAGCCTGAAGAATTCCAGACACGGGTCAGACGAGGTTCTCAGAAGAAACACATTTCGCCTGTACAGGCCTTAAGTGAATTCAAAGCAATGGATTCCTTCTAGGACGCTAGGCTTTAAGACAGCTTTTTTCTTTCTTTCTTTTTTCTTTCCTTTTATTTCTCAATCCAGTTTTTTTTGTAAGCATACTTGCCGACATGTATGCCTCTGGCACGGGGAAATTATGGGAGCAGAGTCTGTTTGCATGTAAGATGAGATGCGATCAATACTACTGATCCATCTCTATGCCCGGAGAGGGGACAGGGACGTCCTGTCCTGAGGTGGCACGGAGCTGTTCTTGGCAACATTCTCATAAAATTTGGTGCAGCGTTTGTATTGCAATGTTTACGGGAGTGGGAGGGATGGGGAAAATAAACGTAACTCTACAAGAGCAAATTCTAATGCATGCAAGAATAATTAGGTTGGCAGGTATATTCAGTGAAAAATCAGGAAGTGTAATGGTAGAAGATAAGGCTGTGTTGCTTCTGTTGCAATGCAAAAATGTATGCGCCAATACGCTGGTGTGTGTGGCCCTCAAATGGAACAACTCAAATGGAAGGCATAGATGTGGATTTTATAGTAAGGGGACACTAACTCCTCCAGCCTAAAATGCGTCTTTTAATCTGTATTCTGTTCTTTCTTTTCTAGTAGTGCTCATGCTATCCATTTTTCCCCTTCACTGAAGATAATAAAAATTTATTTGAGGCAATTATAATCCTTCTGGGGGGACTGGAAGCACAATATAGTGTTCAATCTTGCTTTTACTTTTTAAAAGAAATTGAACTATGATTTTGCTAGAAGTAGGAGGCCCAGTGGTGGAATGTTAGCGGAATGGAAACTGACAATGTGTGAAGGTTCAGAGGCAAATACATAGGTGTAGCTTGGAGTGCTGGTATCTAATATGCCGTTGTATCCACTAACTCAAAATAAACACATTTAACCTTGACATCTGAAGAATGTTTTCTTTCTTTAAATGCATACTTAATAAAAGATCAGAGCATCTTCTTGGAAAGTGGTGAAAATGGTGGTTTGCTTTCAGAAATGGGGGGGGGGGGTAAAAATAGGTGATACATAAAAGAAATCTCCGAGTCCAGCAATTGCTTTTGTCTTATATTTTCCATTTGTTTTCATGTACTTTCACACTGAGTCTAAAATGAGAAAGTCATGTGTTAGATTTTTGTGGACTTGTTCAGCCCTGGGCTCAATTTGAGAAACTGAATCAACTATATGCCCATTAATCTCAAAGTATTTTGTTCATTTAAAAAAAAAAAATTTAATCTAAATTGTAAAAATAGGGCCCCTGTCACATTATGAAGACATGAATAGTAGTCTTTTACCCATAGCCTGAGGAGTAAGAAAGGGTCCCCAAATCCTCCCATTGAAATGATCCCTACAGGTTGGCAAGTTTCAATATGTCTCCAGAAGGTGCCTGGTAAAATATGTGTTTCTTGGCAATGTGATAACACATTGGGACTATGTTTTATTAACTGAGGTGTGAGATCTCAGAGAGAAGAGATGGAGGACTTAAATTGGAAAGAGAGAAGCAGAGTCCAAAATCTTGTTTAGACATGGTTCTGCTAAAACCACTGCTAACAACCACTGGGGGGTATAAAAGTCCCACCCAGGCTGAGGACAATCAGGTGGAGAAGCCACAATAAAAGCCAGAAGCTGATTTTCAACAGTAATCACTAGATCTCTATTTTCACTCTCCTGCCCCTGTAATGTGTGTAACCCTAACAAAGGCCGTATATGACAGAGCTAGCATCATGCTCAGTGGCGAGAAGCTTTTCTTCTAACATCAGGAACAAGAAAAGAATGCCTACCTCTTGCTACTTCTACTCAACATAGTATCGGAAGCCCTAACCAGAGCAATTAGGCAAGACAAATAAAAGGCATCCAAATCAGAAAGGAAGAAATAAAACTATCACTATTGGCAGATGACATAGTATATATAGCAAACCTTAAAAACACTACCAAGAAACTGCTAGGACTAATAAACAATTTTAGTGATGTTGAAGTACACAAAATCTATATACAAAAATCATCAGTGTTTCTCTACACTAATAATTAACTACAAGAAAAAATTAATGAAACATTCTTATCTACAATGTTGTCAAAAAGAATAAAATACAGAGAAATAAAATTAAGGAGATGAAGTAACTGAAAACTATAAGACACTGATGAAAGATTGAAAATAAATGGCAAGATATTACATGCTCATGGATTGAAAGAATTAATATTGTTTAATTGTCCTTGCTACCCAGAGCAATCTGCATATTCAGTACAATCACTATCAAATTTTCCAATGTAAATTTTCACAGAAATAGAACAAATAATCCTAACAATTTGTATGACACCACAAAGGACCTCATATAGCCAAATCAATCTTGAGAAAGAACAAAGCTGGAGACATCATTCTTGCTGGTTTCAAACTGCATTACAAACCTATAGTAATCAAAATAGTATTATATTGGCTGAAAAACAGACACATTGATTAATAGTCCAGAGGTAAACCTATGCATATATGATAGAGAACGACCTTTTCCATAAAGAGTGTGGGGAGAACCGGACAGCCCCATGAAAAAGGGTGAAATGGAACTATCTTACACTGAATAAAAATTAATTCAAAGTGGATTAAAGACTTATATGTAAGACCTGAAACCATAAAACTCCTAGAAGGAAAAAACAGGCAGGAATTGTCTTACTTTTTGAATCTGAATAAAACCAAAGCATGGGCAACCAAAATAAATAAATGGGACTTCATCAGATTGAAATATTTCTGCACAGCAAAGGAAAACAACACAATGAAAGGGCAACCTCCAGAATGGGAGAAAACATTTGCAACCTGGGGTAAGGTATATTCTCTCCATACCACTTTGTTGAGCACTTTTATCATAAATGGATGCTGAGTTCTGACATGCTTTTTGACATGTATTTTTTAGCATCCTCATCAAATTTATGTATTGATACCTTTCATTTATAATATAATTATCATTTACTAGTTTCCAAATCCCAGCTCTTTCATTAATCCATACCCAAATTATTTAGTCCCCAATATGTTCTGACTTCTGTAGTCCTATACAGTAGTTCTTCTTCTACCCCATTTATTTGGCATATTATGAATTCTTGGCAAATCTATAAAATAATATGATGGACCACCAAGCAAAATAAGCATTAAAAAATACAGGGGTTTTATACAGGGGTTTTATAAATTGTAGTCCCTAAATTTGCTGGTACTAGATTGTAAGTCATTTGATTTTTATTGCATCCAAACCATATTAACCAAAGAGTCAGTACTTACTCTACATATTAACCAATCAGAGAGTTAGTACTTACTCTTCATTTGAAGTGTATGGCATTTTTAAAGGTAATAAAAGACAAGGCAAATTAACTACAAAAGGTTGTTAATAGTCATTTTAAAGAGCCCTGGACAGTTTGGCTCAATAGTTTAAAGTGTCAACCCATAGACTGAAGGGTCATGGGTTCAATTTCTGGTCAAGGGCACATACCTAGGTTGCAGGTTGTCTCCCGCCCCTGGTCCGGGTGTGTGTTGGAGGCAACCAGTCAATGTGTCTCTCTCACATTGATGTTTCTCCTTCTCTCTCCCCCTCCCTGACCTTCCACTCTCTCTAAAAATCACTGGAAAAAATATCCTCAGGTGAGGATTAACAATGACAAAAAACTGTTACTACATATGTGTAATAAAAAAAAAAAAAAAAATCAGTGCACCAAGAAGATATAATTATAAACATCTATACACCAAACATCAAAATTTCTAAATGTATATTTCTAAATTTCTAAATGTATAAGCATGGACAAATTTTGAGAAATAGCTCTAAAATAATAGTAGTAAATATCAATACCCCACTTTTAATAATGGGTAGTACAACGTAGACAGAAGATCAATAAAGAAATAGAAAACTTGAACAACATGATGGATGAATTGGATCTAACAGACATACAGAACACCCCATTCCAAACACAGAACACACGTTTTTCTAAAGTACACATGAGATATTCTTAGGCCACAAAAAAGTATTAATACATTTTAAAAGATTGAAATTATATAAAATATATTTTCTGATCGCAGTGGAATGAAACTAGAATCAATAGCAGAAGGAACAATGGAGATTCTGAAATATGTGGAAATTAAACAATACTCTTAACCAGTGGGTCAAAGGAAAAGGTCACAAAAGAAATCTGAAAAAATCTTGAAATAAGTGAAAACAAAAGCATAACATACCAAAACTTATGGGATGCAGCAAAAACAGTGCTAAGGGGTGGGGGTGGGGGGGGTCATAAAATTGTAAATGCTTACAGTAAAAAAAGAAAGTCTCACATCAACAATTTATTTGCACCTCAAGGAACTAGAAAGAAAATAACAACCAAACGATAGCTAACAAAGGAAGAAACTAAAAAGGCTAGATCAGTCATAAACAAAACAGAAAATAGAAAAACAATAGAAAAAATTTAGTAAAACCAAGATTTGGTTTTTTGAAATAAATCAACAAAATTGACAACTTTCTAGTGAGCTTGACCAAAAACTGAAGACCCAAATCTCTAAATTTATAAATAAAACAGGGGAACATTACTAGTGATTTACAGAAGTAAAAAGAATTATAAGAGTGATATGAATTATACACCAACAAATTGGAAACATTAGATGAAATGGATAAATTCCTAGAAACACAAGCCTAACAATACTGAATCAGAAAATCTGAACAGACCCAAAACTAGTAAGGACATAATCAGTCATCAAAAACCTCCCAAGAAATAGAAGCCCAGGGTCAGATAGCTTCACTCGTAAATTCTACCTAATATTTAAAGAATGAACACCAACCCTCCTCAAACTCTTCCAAGCAAAGTATAAAGGAAGAAACACTTCCACACTCAACCTATGAGGCCAGCATTACCCTGATACCAAAACCAGACAAAAACACTGTAAGAAAAGTGAACTGCAGACCAATATCCCTAATGAATATTGATGCAAACATTATCAAGACTCTAGCAAACAGAATTAAACAACATATGAAAAGAATTACATACATGATGAAGTGGGATATATTCTAGATATGCAGGTATGTTTCAATATATAAAAATCAGTCAATGTGATACACCACATTAACAGAATGAAGAAAAAAAAGTGATCATCTCAATTAATAAAAGAACATTCTTTTACGATGAAACACCCAACAAGCTAGGAATAGAAGAAAATTACCTCAAAATATTAAACGCCACTAAGGGGGAAGTTCTGCCATGCTTGGACTACTGAACTCATTGCCATTTTACCAATATTCCCATCTTCTGGATGTTTATAGGGTTTTATTTCACCATTTCTGACCCTCCTGTGTTTTATTAGGGCATTTAAAGTACTTGTCATTTCCTGTTCACCAGGTCATGACATGATTAATATAGTGGACAAGGATTATGTTCTGTGGATGTCAGAGCAATGAAAGCATCTATAGGCTATATTTTTTCAGTGATTAAGACATTAATTATAACCTTAATATGAGTAAATAGGTTCTTCTATCATACCCATATAAAGGCAACTTGCTTTTCATTCTCCTGATTCATTGGTATTGGAAATAATTTTATGTCCAGATCAACAACCTCATACCAAGTGTCAGAGATGTAGTAATCTTACTCAGTGAAGTTGGAACATTCAATTTGGGAATTTTCAGGGAACATACGATTAATTGAATAGGGATAGGACAGATCTCTTCCTCTGCATCTTTTAAATCTTAAAAGGTTATACTAAGCTCCACACTTCTTTTTTTTTTTTTTTTTTTTTTTTTTTTTTAATCCTCACCCGAGGACATTTCTCCATTTTTTGTACAGATAGAGTGGGAGGGAGAGAGAGGAAGAGAGAGAGAGAGAGAGAAACATCGATGTGAAAGGGACACATCGAGTGGCTGCCACCCGCACAACCAACCAGGGCCGGGGACAAACTGCAACCGAAGTACGTGCCCTTAGCGGGAACCAAACCCGGGTCTCTCCGGACCGCAGGCCGAC